CTTTGGTTTATCATGTGACTTTCTCATCACCACCTGCATTTGGTGGTTATCAGTGTATTACAAAGGTACAAAACAGATTTCAGTACTTCAATAGGTTGGTATATTAACATTATATCAGTTAATGAAATTACGGTATTTAACTGTAAATTTAAGTTAAAACCGTCAAACCTAAAACGTTGCTACCGTATCTTTTACGGTAAAATTCCGGCAACCACAGCTGCAGGTTTTTTACCGTAAATTTTACAGATTTTTTTTACAGTGTTGGCTTCATAAAGCCTGATTAAGCAGTCTGTTTTTTAGACCAGTGTCATGAGTATACAGAAGTCAAATGTATCCTTCATTTTTATGCTTGATGTTGAAGCATTTAAACAAGGTTCAGTGTAACTAATTCAGTTTTGATTTCCATTTGCAGGCTCAGCATGTGGCCCAATGAGAGCTCTGAAAATCAAAGGTGATTAGAAGTGACCAACCTCCATCCTTACAGTCAAACTCAAGGGACCCATTTGATTGGAGCCTTGATGAGATTTCTTTAGCTGTAAACACTCAAGCAGATCAAAAGTACAGCGACACAAACCAACACAGCTACGGATTATGCCTATATAGGCTCCGACGTGCAGTGTAGGTAAGAACATCTCTGAAACCATGGCGGACCCCTACCACAACAACATTTACCACCAAGGAGATGGAGACAGCTATAGGACGTATGGACAGGGAGGACAGGATGGCTACGGTTATCAGACTGACTACCCTCCACAGGAGGAAGATGCCGCCAGTGATGTCACCGAGGGACACGATGAAGAAGATCAAATGTATGAAGGGGAGTACCAGGGCATCCCCCACCCGGATGAGGTCAAGGCTGCCCGGAGGGCAGCGAGAGCAAAAGCGAGGACCATGGCGGACGGCGTGTCAGATCAGGAGGAGCTTGCTGAACAATACGAGGACATCATGGAGGACTGTGGACATGGGAAGTTCCAGTGGACCTTGTTTGTGGTGTTGGGTCTGGCGCTAATGGCAGACAGCGTGGAGTGCTTTGTAGTGGCCTTGGTGCTACCCAGTGCAGAGAAAGACATGTGTTTGTCCCACGCTGAGAAGGGAATGCTGGGTAAGTCACCATTTTAGTGTTCAGAATAGCATACTACCATAGTATTTCTGCAGTAAACACCTGAATGATCCACTAAATTGGCCAAAATGGGAAGTATACTGCACTTAGGCTATATGTACTGGTTTCCCATGATGCATTGCACTCAATCCTACATTTCCAGTGCTAAACTTTATGAAAGTTAACCATGGTTTTACTACAAATAAAAGGAAAAAACATTGTTACTATAGTTAAACCATGGTATCCACAAATTAACCATGGTTTTGCTACACTAACCATAGTTTAACCACGGTATTTTTAGTAAAACTGTGGTTATACAAATGGTAATCAGTATGCCAAAAAATGTAGTTTACTACTGTTTGAAATATTTAGCGCTGCATAATGTGTACTGTTTCACATCATTTTGAAACAAAGCAGGCCGTATACAATGTACACTATGCAGTAGTTGTATGTAGTATGTAGTTAGCATTGTGCTAGCTAGCATTCCATTATGTACATATCCATTGTTAATCTTATTTTAAAATGAACACAGACTTAACATGAACAATCTGAGAGGATGTATGGAGGATTTTCTTAGTGTATATTGATTTTTATGGATGTAGGTCATGTGCTGATATCCTTTTTTCTGAATCCTTTTTTATAACAAAAAAGCAACCTAGCAAAACAGCATGAATTCAATTTAGCTGGCTATGGAGTCCTGGATGCTGTTCCATATGCACATGCTAACGAAAAGTTTTAGTTTAATTAATCCTAGTGATTTTGTGAATTGAGACAGACCTGAATGATGGTATGCAGTCAGTTTTAGCCAACTGGTACTTAAGGAGACAATCAATTCAGAATGTTCTCAAATTAGCTAATGGGGCACTCGACGGTTGAGATTTATGTGGCTGGCTCGGTTTTACATCTATCTACTCTTGCTTAGTAAAGCAGTGGGGGGAACTGACTCGTGACTCCCAAAGGTAAGACTGAGATGGGTTGGTTTTAGGACAGACTAAAGCCTGAGACAAACAATTAAGCAAGACCAAACAAGCATAGACATTGTAGGAAGGGGTTGTGTTTAATGTGCCCCAAATTAATTGTCCCTATAGTTGGGACAGACACTTTGTAGTACTAGTGGAAAATGTTTTTATTTATTTTTGATTTGATTTGATTTGTCCTAAACTTGAAATACATCTGTAATGCAGGACCTGAATTAAGATGTATTACTAGTTTGATCTCGCTTCAGAGAAACATTAGTCAAGACATGTCTGATAATCCATAGATGTTTTTTGATTAATCTGCTCCTTAATTTATTAGTTACAACAGGAAGCCAGATTTAAAGACTTTAGCTTACCTTGTAATAATAAAGGCAATCTATAAATCTGTCTATCGGATTGAATTTTTCAAGGCACCAGCAGTGACAGTGCACAACCTTACCCAGTCTGGATAAGTGATATTGATGTGTGTGCAGAAGTAGCGTGTATGAGAGTAAAGACTGTCTGTGAGCCTCAGGGAGCCAGAATGAGCAAGCACTTTCCATCCTGCACACCCATCGTGGAGAACAACTGTGTCAGCAGTAGCCCGACAGATCGATAGCTTCTCTCCTGACCTTGCTCTGATACATAATCTTGTGCCCACCTCCCCCTGCAGTCACCATCAGGTTATATTCGTCACTCACTTTTTCATGTTTTTCACATTACTATTGGGGTTGGTTCTGATATGCCATCTTTACAGAGACATTTTAGCTTCTTGCAGGTCTAGAACCGAGCATGCATGGCGTCTTGTAGATGGGTCAGCCACTTTTACAGGTTTTTGTAGTTTTCTTCATTTTTGGCTCAACACTGCACCAGATTTCTTGTTGGGTTGCTTGTCAACTGACTATTAAAGTGTGGTCACATTTACTGTTGTTTGGCGAATTTTCACTGGCGAAATCCAGTCATTTCAATAGGAATATATGCGATTTGGAATTTGGCATGAGGGCAAATGATTACCCCACACAGATTTCGCATCAGGTTCAGTTAGTCGTGTGAATTTGCCATGATTGCCAACAGAAAGCTGCTTTGTTTGAAAGTGACTTCTGTGTAAGCTGAGTTTCATACATCACTACACTGTTGATAGACAATATTCTCTTGATAGACAAGATTAATGTTTTGCCGAAAATTCACTAATGTGTACATACTTTTATTCCAGAATAATTAGGCTGGTTTGAGGTTTCTTATCTCAATATGTTTTTTAAATGTTTTTAGGCGGGTATTCACATATAATTTTTTAAAATTTGGACTATTTGTAATTTGTCATCTTAAAAATTCAACACTCATAAAAACAGTGCAAATCATGACATAACAGCCAAAGGCATAGTTCTGAATGTCTGTGGCTGAATCGATAAACTAAAGCGGTTTATAGGGGTCGAATTTGAAGACATTTACAAGTAGGTTTCCAGGACTAACTGACCTTACTAATCAAGTAGTAGAATTTTTATTGTTATTATTTCACTAATTATCTAGTCATTCCAAAGTGTCTCAAACATTGAATTAAAAAAGGTCAATAAATGTGTAATTTCTGCACCAAATGTAATTTCAAAAGAAGTTTCATTTTTGATCTAAATAGTTTCCTTTGATTGAAATAGTTTCTTTAACCCTCCCTTATCTCTCAGTGGTCAAAAAAAGCATATAGCCCCGCCCATACTCACAACATTGGTCGAGTCAGTGTTGCTATGTCAGGCTGGTCGGAATTCTCAAACAAACAGAAGAATGTTTTGAAAGCACCAAGTGTTTACACTTCTGAGGGGAATAAACCTACCAATAGCCTATATAGTCTCTGCATATTAAAGTGAGACAGGTGAAAGTATATTAGCATATGAAATGTAAACTGAAGTTGGCATGTAAATCTATATGACAATAAAGAATAAAATCACCACATCGGCTTAGCCTTGGGCCCTCATTTTGGCTCTGAAACATTGTCACGACTGCGTGACTCGGCGGATTAAGGCTGACCAATGGGATGCTGGGAGGATCCTCATGCTGAGCGGTAGGGCATAATGGCAACTCAGCTCCATATGTTGATCTGCTCATAGAGGACGGTGCTGTCACTCTCACACTAGTCTTACACCAAACTCCCTTCACCACATGACCATCTGTACTCCACGCCAGGCCTTCGTGCTTCATGCCTGTGCAACACTATAGTTTTGAGGGGTAAATCTGCAGAATTATGCAGAATTGGTTTGATAAAATGAGTTAAAAGCAACTGAGAGTACTACATTACTCTTAATGTTGTCTGAAAGCATAATAGATAAAATATTTATATTAAATAATTTATTTAATAAATGCTTAATATTTATACCTGATATTTCATTGTTAAATATTTAACAATATTAAATATTTAATAAAAAAAATAAAAAAATAAATAAAAGAATATGAGTCCGGTATTTGTTCAAAATCTTGCAGATATTAACAATGACAGGGATTCTGTGATTTCTGGATGTAATAAGTCTGAAATATAACCGTAATGTTTGTTGATTTGGTGAACACTTTTATCCAAAGCAACTTATGTGAAAAGATCATGCGTTTCCCTAGGAAGTGAACCCTAGAGCCATTTGCTAACGTTTGAGCTAAAAAAATAGCTTTAATGCTAAATCATGATAACAATTTAACCTTATAATGGTAATAATCTTGCCCTTCAAAAAGGAGTAAATCTACTGGCATAATAATAACATGCTTCCACTGTCATTGTACAACATTTGCACAAAGGTTCAAATTGAATGCCAGCTCTTTCACTGCTCTCTTAAGTGAGCACCCCACTGACAGGTACATTCACTAAACGTGTTACGTCAGCCAAATTGCACACGTGTGAGTCCTGCTATAGTTTCTGAACACCCACTCGCACTCATTAAGACTGACCAGGACCGCAAAATCTTCTATTGCAATCACTTAACCTTGTGACTGCTCATTTGACGTTCCTTTCCCTCCATTTCCGAGACTACATTAGCTTAAATTGATTGTGGTTGCTTGAGTTCTGATCTTACATATTTCGATGTCATTTAAAAACACATGTAGACTCTATTGAATCTCATTAGAGAAGAGTGATTGAAAGTAAACACTGCACAGTAAATTTATTTTGGGGTGATGAGAAACTTGATGCATACTAACAAAGAGGAAAAGAGGGAGAGAATGCCCCCTAGAGGCACTGTAAAATAGAGGAGAGGTAAAATATGTGTACTTAAAATGTTTTATAATATATATATTTTTTAATTTTATATATTATAAAATTTAAATATTATGTAAATATAACTACTGTATGTCAGTCTGTCTCACGTGGTTTATCTTTTCTTCTACAGGTTTGATAGTTTTCCTGGGAATGATGTTCGGCGCATTTATTTGGGGTGGCCTGGCTGATAAAGTCGGTCGACGGAAATGTCTGATTATCGTTCTGGCCATGAACTGCATCTCTGCCTTCTTCTCCTCATTCGCACAGGGATACGGCTTCTTCCTGTTTTTCAGGCTGTTCTCTGGAATTGGGTAAGCTGGAGAAAAGTAGAAAGAGAAGGAGTGGTATATCAAAGCAAAATCTGCCCTCCACCTCAGAAGCCATAAAATTGCATGACAATAAGTCATTGTTTTCCATTAGAGGTTGAGCCCTTCTGTAAACCAAGCATGTCCAGGCTTAAACCCTTCTCCCTCGGCTCAACTTTTAATTTAAACCTTGCAATGCTGGGTGGTAATTACAGGACTGATTCATGGGGAACTCTCAATCTAGCTAACCTCAAACTATAATACCCTTAAGACTACATCATGACATTAAAGATCTCGTCAATATGCTCTCGTGGCCATTTACAGGTTTTGTGGACAAGAACGAGGTAATGAAAGTTTGCAGATAGGAATAACTGCGTTGTAAGAGAACTGCGGCCATGTGTTGTCTTGCAGGATTGGGGGCTCCGTCCCAATAGTGTATGCGTACTTCTCTGAGTTCCTGCAGATGGATAAAAGAGGAGAACATCTCAGCTGGCTCTGCATGTTTTGGATGATGGGGGGCATCTACGCTTCCTTCACCGCCTGGGGCATCATCCCTCGATATGGTACATGCACATACCTTGAATATGTAGAGCGGTATATGGATAAAGCTCCTTTTTCCCCTTGTTTTTACATGTTGGTTGTGTTTTGCGATATTTTTAGGCTGGGGTTTCAGTATGGGCACAGAGTTCCAGTTCCACAGCTGGAGAGTGTTTGTTCTGGTCTGTGCTCTCCCAGCTATAGCAGCTTGTCTTGGGCTAATGTTCATGCCTGAGAGCCCACGCTTCCTACTGGAGGTACATATCTGAAATATACAATAGCGCTGTTCCAACACCTAGTGAGCTGACTTGCTGCCTACTGCCTACACAAACAGCTGCTTTCTAAGATAGCATCATAACATGTTGTGGTACCTCATAAGGTTCTTCATAGACAACAACTTGCGCCACACAAATCTGATTGCCACCTAAAACTTATGCCAAACAATTCAAAATTGAGTTTGACGTCAGCATGTTGTTAACCAAGTTAACCAAGTGATACTCTAATAAGCATGAAACTACACAGCACACACAAATATTCATTCAAAAGAAAAGCTTTCATTTGAAATACATTTTTTGTAACGTTATAAATGTCTTTAATGTCACTTTTGATCAATTTAATGCATTTTTGCTGAATAAAAGTATTAAATTATTTAAAAAATAAAAATAAATCATACAGACCCCAAACTGTTTATCAGTAGTGTATGTACCTCACAAATCAAGCCATTATGAGTAATATTCACACAGCTATGAGAAAACAATATCCATCTCTTCCAGAATGCTAAACATGATGAGGCCTGGATGATCCTGAAACAGGTTCATGACACCAACTGGAGAGCCAAAGGAGAACCTGAGAGAGTGTTTACTGTAAGTTTAATGTTTTTCAAGAGCTGATTTGATGTTTGGAGTAATATGTAATAAATGTTGTCTTAAGTCTACGTCATGTAATATGGTGAAGACTTTTTTTTTATCATAATGCCTCATGGATAATGAATCCTTTTATCCAGGTAACTCAAATCAAGACTCCAAAGACTCAGGAAGATGAGTTTATTGAGATTCAGACTGCAACTGGAACTGCTTTCCAGAGATGGGTGGTTCGAACTTTGACACTGACCAAGCTGGTACACCATAAAGCTCACAGTTCAGTTGACTTTATGTTCTTCAGTACTTAATATTAATATAAGCTGTTTTTGTGTGCAGGTCATGAAAAATGTTTTGTCCCTCTTCGGTCGTGATCTAAGACTCGCTACTCTGCTAATGGCCATCATATGGTTCACAATGGCATTTAGGTAAACCCCTTTTGCTAAATACTAATTATTCTTGTGTCCTGAAACACTGGTGCATTGACTATTTTATTCAACTCTTCTTTAGTTAAAGTGTGTAACTTTAGTGCCTCTAGTGTCAGCAAATGGAATTGCAACACATTGGTTGGAAAAACAGATAGTTCCACCTCCAAACTTGCCCCACTGGTGGAGTTTTCACACTACTAAACTAAACATTTCATTGCTTCTCTTTCTTGTGGTATATTTCAGTTTTTACGGGCTATCGGTGTGGTTTCCTGACATGATCAAACACCTCCAGCACGAGGAGTATGAATCCAAGGTCAAAGTATTTAATCGGGAGAAGGTGGAGCAATTTCATTTCAACTTCTCTTTGGAGAACCAAGTCCATAAAGAGGGAGAATACATCAATGACAAGTATGCTGACAAAAACGCCATCTGCGACATCCATTATCCACAAATTCTTCTCTTAATTGTCAGGCTATAGTAGTATCTCAACGTGTGCTGTGTGCTTTCATGCAGGTTCATCAACATTGAGATGAAGTCTGTGAAGTTTGAAGACTCCTTATTTGTGGACTGCTACTTCGAGAACATCCGATCCACAGACACCATCTTTGAGAACTGCACCATCCGCAGTACTGTGTTTTATGACACAGGTAAGAGATCTTACCCACAATCCAGAGTTGTTTTAGTGCACCAGGCCTCATGGTTTCTTCATTTCCACAGACTTATATGAGGAAAAGTTCACTGACTGTACATTAGAGAACGTCACTTTCCTGCACAACAAGAAGGGATGCCATTTAGACAATGAGGAGGAGAACGATGTCCTCATCTACTTGGTCAGCTTCTTAGGCAGCTTAGCTGTGCTGCCTGGAAATATCATCTCAGCACTCTTCATGGACAAGATTGGACGAATCAAGATTATAGGTGAGCTGAACTGCTACCTAGATGGCTGCAAACCTTTTTCAGAGATGCTATCTTTATTTTTTTAGATCTAGTAGCTTGCAATCTAAGTGGCTAATGTTGTTTCTAACTAAGAAGAGCCTGTGAAAAACATTTTCTTCTCTCTGCAGGGGGTTCGATGCTTATTTCTGCTGGCTGCACCTTTTTTCTTTTCTTGAGCTTTAGTCAGGCAGCCATCATAGCCTGGCAGTGTCTGTTTTGTGGCGTTAGCGTAGCAGCGTGGAACGGCATTCAAGTCATCACCGTGGAACTCTACCCAACTTCAAAAAGGTATAACTAATATACCATTTTTAGAAATTTAAATGTTTTTATTTTTTAATTAGCTTTTTTATATTTTATATAAAATTTTAATATACGTTTTTAGTAATTTGATGTGTTCTTTTGTATTTGTATTATTTTTTATATTTTTATTTTTAAGTTTAAGTAATTTTAGTACTTCAGCTTAGTTCAACTTAGTTCCCAAGGCAACATTTGTAAATGTAATTAAATTTTTTTTAAGTTTGTGTTTTTCATCTAATGTGTGTATATATATATAAATATATATACAGTATATATAAGTATATATATAAGATTTATTTCAAGTCAATCGTTTTAGTTAATAACAACACTGGTGTGTAATTGCATGTTGCTTTCGGAGCATAGATACTATGTCCAGGCCAATTGTTAACATACATGCTAAACGAAGCCGAGTTACAATCACGTTATCAGTCTGATTTCACACAAAAAAACGGGCTTAATACAAATTGCTTTAGCACAACTGAACTTGTACAGTACATGTAAAAACACATACTGTCTTTTCACTGGCCTGGTCTAACTTCTCTTACAGAGCCACAGCGTTTGGAGTCTTAAATGCCATTTGTAAGTTCGCAGCTATATTGGGAAGCTCAATCAAAAAAAAATGGCTTAATACAAATTGCTTTAGCACAACCGAACTTGTACAGTACATGTAAAAACACATACTGTCTTTTCACTGCCTGGTCTCAACTTCTCTTACAGAGCCACAGCGTTTGGAGTCTTAAATGCCATTTGTAAGTTCGCAGCTATATTGGGAAGCTCAATCTTTGCCTCATTCGTAGGCATTACCAAAGTCATCCCCATTCTGCTGTCCTTCGGTGCTCTGGTTGCTGGCGGCGTGTTGGCCCTGAAACTGCCTGAGACCAGAGAGAAGGTCTTGCTGTGAAAATTTGAAGCTGAAGGTTTGGTCCAAGCCATTTTAACTATTAGTGTGGAGATAACAACTGCTGGCATGTGTAAAATTGGGCTTATTCAAGGGAAAAAAATACTTTTAAACTCATAATATATGATATTAAACTCTAATATTCAAAAACTAGAAGGACCAAATGATGGAGCTACCCCTAGTCTGCATAGATATGCCTGATATGTCATATACAGTAAGTTAAAGGCCTGTTGGGTCATTTGGAGCCCCCCAAAAATATTTGCACTAGTTATATAGTTTCAGAAAAATCTACAGTGAGTATTATAGAGAAAAACCTCCAGTGAAAAATACAATTTGTCCCAGATTTGCTTGGATGGGGTAATCAGAGTCATGGAAGTTTCAAACCTGTGCCATTTCTAGGTCAAAAAATTCAGGTACTGTTGAAGATTTTCTTTTTATCTTATAGCTTGTAATTTGCTATCGTCTCACCCTCTGCCTTTGCTTATGATGTAACCTCCGCTGATAAAAGGTGTATTTTTGTCTTGGTGTTTGCAAGTGTCCTACTATATGTCAAGAGACTGATCTCAATGTGTCGCTGTGCGTTCGGATGCTCGGTGCAGAATGTGTGCTTGTGTTTGTTGCATCACTCCAGAAACCGTTACGTGTGCGTCCTCCGTTTTCTATTTTTTGCTTTATTACCTGTAAATTGCCCAATCTGGCGGAGCACCTTACAAAGCTCACCTCACTTTAGTGCTCTCTCACTCTCTTTCTCTATCACCCTGTTATTTAATTATTTTGCATTCTGTGAATCCTGAAAAAGTCGGACGGTTTGGTCACTTTGGATTTGAGCTTCACAGAGCCACATATCTGTACATGCTGTTGACTGAGTTGCATGTGTGTAATTTACCAAGTAATATTGTGTCTTTTCTCAATGTGTTGTCTGGATGATGTAATGTATGTCTCACTGCGAATAAAACTGGTTAGACCATACTAGTCATTTGGTAACCTGTATCATTTATTTTTCATGAGCTGGTTATAGACCTCTTAAGGGACCTCTTAAATCTCTGGTATGATTTACTCGCCCTCATGTCGTTCCAAACCTGCATGACTTTCCTAACACAAAAGATGATATTTTGAAGAATGTCTATACAATATTGTTTTTGGACCCCTTTGACTTCCATTGTATGTCCAAAAAAACATTATTTTGTGAAGCAATAAAGGCATACAGGTTTGGAATAACATGAAGGTTAGTAAATAATGACATGATTTTTAGTTTTTGGCCATGGAAGTTTCAAACCTGTGCCATTTCTTGGTCAAAAAATTCAGGTACTGTTGAAGATTTTCTTTTTATCTTATAGCTTGTAATTTGCTATCATCTCACCTTCTGCCTTTGCTTATGATGTAACCTCCGCTGATAAAAGGTGTATTTTTGTCTTGGTGTTTGCAAGTGTCCTACTATATGTCAAGAGACTGATCTCAATGTGTCGCTGTGCGTTCGGATGCTCGGTGCAGAATGTGTGCTTGTGTTTGTTGCATCACTCCAGAAACCGTTACGTGTGCGTCCTCCGTTTTCTATTTTTTGCTTTATTACCTGTAAATTGCCCAATCTGGCGGAGCACCTTACAAAGCTCACCTCACTTTAGTGCTCTCTCACTCTCTTTCTCTATCACCCTGTTATTTAATTATTTTGCATTCTGTGAATCCTGAAAAAGTCGGACGGTTTGGTCACTTTGGATTTGAGCTTCACAGAGCCACATATCTGTACATGCTGTTGACTGAGTTGCATGTGTGTAATTTACCAAGTAATATTGTGTCTTTTCTCAATGTGTTGTCTGGATGATGTAATGTATGTCTCACTGCGAATAAAACTGGTTAGACCATACTAGTCATTTGGTAACCTGTATCATTTATTTTTCATGAGCTGGTTATAGACCTCTTAAGGGACCTCTTAAATCTCTGGTATGATTTACTCGCCCTCATGTCGTTCCAAACCTGCATGACTTTCCTAACACAAAAGATGATATTTTGAAGAATGTCTATACAATATTGTTTTTGGACCCCTTTGACTTCCATTGTATGTCCAAAAAAACATTATTTTGTGAAGCAATAAAGGCATACAGGTTTGGAATAACATGAAGGTTAGTAAATAATGACATGATTTTTAGTTTTTGGCTGAACTATCCCTTTAAAGTTTATGAAGCTGTCACCTTTGTAACCAACGAACAAAGCCGTGCATGCACACTATATTACTGTTTTTCTTTAAAAAACAAATTATGAACAGTACATGCACAATAATGAAATCTGTACACCTGAATATGGATGCCAGTTTCTGCCATGGAATAAAAAAATAAATAAGGTAAATGTGACTTATCTCACAATTCTGTCTTTTCTTGAAATCTTTTTCTTGAGTTTATATCTCACAATTCTGAATTTTATCTCACTATTCTGAAATATACAATTCTGACTTGCAAGATATAAAATTGGAATTGCAAGATTGAGATATAAACTCGGAAATGTGAGATTCTAAGAAGAAAAGTCGGAATTGTGAGATATAAACTTGCAACTGTGAGGAAAAGTTTTAGAATTGTGAGATAAAAACTCGCAATTGCCTTTTTTTATTCTGTGGCAAGTTTATATCTCACAATTCTGTTTATATCTAAAAATTTAGATTTTTTTTCTCAGAATTGCCAATCCGAATTGTGAGATAAAAAGTTATAATTATCTTTTTTTTTTTTTTTATTTTTTTTATTCCGTGGCATTCCTGTAAAATTGGACAGATCCATTTGATGGAGATGCAATGAAAACCTCCTTCTCGTTATGCATAATTAATGATAAACTCTGTGTAATTGATTCTAAGTTTGTTTGTGAACACTTGCTTCTTCATTTTTATAGCATATTTATTTGGAAATATTTTCTGGCTGTCACAGAAATAATTCATTTTATGTTTTCCATTCTGATGTTTTTGTTTTGTTGACCGTACATTATGAATTACAAAAAATAAACATTTATGTGATTCGCACAGTTTGTGTTGGGCTTTTTTTCTTTTTTTTTTTTGGCTGAATACTTTCTTCTGCCTGCCAGCTCATTCTGTCTTGGGGTTTGAGCTACTGTGTGAAAGATGTAACAGCAAGACCTGCGAAACAGAGCTAGAGTCCCTTTTTTCGCTTGGTTGAGAGGTTTTAGTTTGCAGACAAGCTATTCCTTACGGTTACTGAAGCTGTGGAAGTGGGTGGGAAGATGAGTGCAAAGATCATTTTACATGCAGATCCTGGTTCGAAAATTAGTGAATAACAAACAGTAGACTGTTGGCGATTCATATGATGATGCTCTACTTACAGTATGTAGTGCACTTCATGTACTTTTTTTTTAACGCTGGGCACAGCATACTCGTGTCGTTCTCACAATGCAATGTCATGTTTCTCCTGATTTGCAGCACCTCTGTCTCAGGATATTTTGTTATAATTCACACTCAGGGTGCAAAATGCTGCAAGCCACGAGAGGAGGTAAAAAAGAGAGAACATTGTCGTTCCCATGGGAATGTTAAGAGGACAATTTGGATAAAAGTTACTGCTTTAAATGTTAGGACTGAATAGATACATGTGCCTGCATAAAATAAAGTATTTTTTATCCTTTTAAGATGGTGAACACGTTGGTCTTCTAAGACTGTGAACTAATAGATGCTAACAATCTCGCCCACCGTGACTCTGAGGTGCCAAAGACCACCACAGTCCTGGCACCTCTCGGCTCCTAGAGGGTGAGATCAGGGTTCAGTCAGGTCACATCACAAAGGTCATACCGGAAAGGACAGGTCACAATGCAAAAATCATAGCTGCTGAGATGCAATTTAAAAAGTTACTCCAGTCTTTAGTCACATGATCCTTCAGAAAGGATTCTATGCTGTTTCTTTGTTTAGTCTAAAGCCTTCCTGGGAAAGTCAATTCAGTTTATAACTTATTTAACCACACAAAATGAAACTAAAATACACAAAAGCAAATATTACATTCATAACACCAGTTTAAGATGCTTTTTATATGCTTTTATAGTATTATGTAAATATTAGATAAACATATTTATGCAATTATGAATCTAAAACATAAAAAGGAAGGCATTTTATGTAAAATGACCATTACAAATGTTTTATAAAAATTTGCAAATCATATTTATATTTTTTGTATTATTCTTATATAGTATTTATATAATGCACAATATTATATATTTATATCTAATATTTAATGTATATACAACATTTTTATTTTACTTAATATGTTTGAATACAATAAAATACAATTTCATATAATAATATAATTTAAATAATTTCTCTTCTACTTCATTGGAAATTTGTATTATGATAAATTTGCTTAAAATAATATCAATAGTTTTATTATTCTTATTTTATTTTATTTTATATTTACAATTTATATTATTCTGTATTACATACAGTATTATATGCCATCATGTTTATTGGCTGCTTTATTTTTTTTTTACTTCATGAGGAATTCTAATTAATATGCAGTAAATCTTCATATATTATATTATTATATATACAACATTACATTAAATTCTGATTATTAAGCAATAATTCTGCTTTTTTTTTTATTTGCCAAGTTTAGTATATTTATTTTTTAATGTATCAGTTTACTGAGTTTCTATTTATGGATTGAAAATAATCCAAATAGCACTGGAGGGCTTGATGTTAAAAACAGTAGTGAAGGGGGAGAAAAAAAGTTCATGTTGGGTAGGAGTGAAAAATCACACATTACCTGATGACTCATATCTGTATAGGTTCCCACATCGGGACTGGACTTCTCCCTCTCTCTCTGTAGTCTGGTCTGGGACAGACAGCGGCGGGCTGGAGAGGCCTGCAGAGGTGTCACTTCACACCTCTGAGGCCCGAGGCTACTATAAAGCCTCCCTCCAGCAAACCCTCCGGCATCACTGACTCTCTCAAACCACACAGAATGGACGTGTCTTCTCCTTTCTTCAGCTACTTCACACAAAACTCCTGGAGCTGCCCGAGCTCAGGCAGTAAATCTATATTATA